TTCCATTCAGAGATACCTAAGCACAAACACTCTGTGACATTAAAATATCATTTCATCGATTTACAACTTTATTTCTGGCTTCAATTAAAATTAAAATTAGCCTGATGGACAGACTTACTTACTCTGTTATCAAATACCAGTTTAAGACATCATGAACTGGAAAGATATCATTGTTCAGTAACCATGATAAACAGCATGAGTTTTGGTGAAAAAACAAGTCATGTTCAAAAGCAATTATAACCTTTTTAGACAAAGAGAAACACCACTTGATAACGGAACACAAAATAAATACATATGATCAAAGGATAAAGTCTGAGAGGAATACACAGAGGGAAGTTTTTACATCTACAGAATAAGAAATTAATGTGTTTGGACAAAGGCAAAGGCTGACTCCAATAAACAAATCAAAAATAAGGTACTTTTTCCCCCTCTTTAGAAAAGTAAATAAAAGATCAAACACACACACACACACAGAATCCTAGTGTTCTTTGTTTTGTCCTTAAGAGCAATCTGTAAACTCTCTTGATGTTTCCTGCTCTCAGTCCTGCAGCAATCCTCTTCCTGCCCTCCATGAAGAGCAAGTAGAGGAAATGGGAATAGCACAGGGCAGATGAGGACAGCATTTTCCATGCCTCTAGAAGTACATCCATATTTAGCATGATTTACACTGTCTTTAACACCACCTTGAACAGACCTAGATCATGGGACTTGAAAAGCACTGGTAGGCAACAACACAGTTTCTCTATATAGGACCCTTATCACATGAACTAAATGTTTTTTAAAGGCCATAAAAATGTGTAGTAAACCATCACTGGTAGAAATATGAGATTTGATGGGAAAACTGGCGTTCACTCTGCATAGTGGTTGAGTCATATTTCCAGTTTTTAAGAACATGTCCAGCACCAAAAGATATTTAGGAGGAACAAAAAGACTGTGATGTTGGCTATGTGCATGCGGGCTTTGTTGTTGCTAAAGAGGAGTGGGAAGGAGTGTGGGGGAGGGGCAGGGCAGCAGAGGGGTTGATTTATTTTTCAAATTCGCGTTTATGAATACAAAGAGAAGAGCTGTCAGCAGCACACATGCCAAGCCCAAATAGCAGCCAGACCTGCCTCTTCCCGTCTGGGTAGGCCAGACACAAAACGACATCTTGCAATCTAGGAAAATCAGCAGAGTCAGATGTATGGAGAATAGTGAGAGAAAAAACAGTCCTGGAAATGTCTACTTATATATCATTACTAGTGTTAAAATTTATAGTTTTAATGAATTGAGGGACTGAGCGATTCTGGTCAATCAAAACCAGAAAATCGGCGCACAAACCTTGAAACAAGCTGTTTCTGATGTATTTTCCTAGTAGGTAGTAAGTATGAAAGAAATTAACTTCACATACAGAGACATCAAGGAGTCAGACACCAGGAAAGTGGCATTGTTTAGATGTGTTGCAAGGTCCTAAGGGATCAAGTGAGTGCACACTTACAGTGCGACATGCCAGGAACTAGATCAAGTGAGGATCTTGAGCTGCATTTCCAGGCTCACATCATACTAGAGACACAATAGTCCCTCTCTAGGTCATTGATAAGACTGCATCTAAAACGCTGCATATTTTTTTCTCCATACTCTGATGAAAAAGCTGAACAACCAACAGTTGAACAAACAGCTAAACAAATGACTATATATTTCTTCTATTGTTAGGAATGTTAATAACGACTCTTCCACAGGTAGAGCTCAAATAACAATTTACATGAGGTAAGCAAAAAAAAAAAAATTAAGGATAATTTCTCTCACTGTACTGATAAAATTAGAGTCTGGCCAATCTAGGATGTTTATGTTTAATAATGATTAAAATGAATGACTGGCAGAGGAAACACACACACACACACACACACACACACTCTCCTGAACAGCCTGTCCTCACTAGGCGAGTGTGGGAGCAAGCCAAGGAGACTAAAGTCAAGGCACTTAGCTACCTTAATGTATGACGCCTACACTCCAGAGAGCTGCATAATGCTTTACAACTTACAGTGCCAGTTCACATAAATTATTTCATAAAAACCAGGTGGAAAGGTTAGGACAGGTATTATTATCACCATTTTACAGATGAGAAAGCTGAGTTTCCAAGTAACTTCTCTGTGACTGGTTTTGTCAGGCATCTGAGTCCCAAGACAGAAAACTGTCTTACGTTATAATATCAAGAGATAACAGCTACACAACCCCATGAATGTCAGTGCATCTTTGTGCTTCTATTCCTCAGTTTCCCCAGGTAGGACACTAGTATAATTTTAAGTGAAAGATTAAGCTAAAATAATGTAAGTTGATATTTACAGGCTGTTCTGGTTTTAAAGAGGCTCACCATGCAGCATTTTTACACTTTCATTCCAAAAACTAAGGAAAAAGTCCCAGTGATAAAAATATTATTAAATTTGTGGTTTAAAGAGAGAACACTGGATGAGTATATGACATATCCAACAATCCTTAGTCTTTCAAAATTTGCTTTTGAAGTGTACTACATTAGAAACCACATCATAATATCTAAAAGTGGTAAATTGGCCTTAATGGATGTGATTTAAAAGACCTATTTAACAGGATATTCAAAAATTTGAATATATATTTGTTTTAGACTTTTAAAGCATTTTATTCAAATTTCTCAAAAGAACTAAAAGTTCATTATTTAAAGTAGAATCCAAGAAAAAAAACAGCAAGAAAGAAATACACCTTCAATCTCTGAATTTATGTATTTACAACAAATCTGACTGCCATAAAATCTGATGATAGTAGAATACCAAGTGGCTTAGGATAACCAGAACACGAAAATGTTTACAAAACAAACTTTTAATTCATGGAGAAAGGCAGATTCACAATCTGACTTTAAACAGGGGGAAAAAAGCATGCAAATCCTGAATGGCAAAATTTTTGAGATACAGTTCTACAAGAATTGCATTTATTAGGACTGCACATTCTCTTACTTAAACATAACTTAAAGTCAAAGGTTTCACTTTGTCACTAAAGCAAAGCCAGGCATATTTGGTAAAATTACTTAGAACTGGATGTCTGAGAACGCAATTGTTCATTAGAGATATCTAAACTCCAGAGATCAGAAAAGCTCATCTGCACATTCTGTTGGAGGGAATTTAATACTTACTAAAGGGTAAATAACATTTGAAACGAGAAATATAAAAGTTTCTTTACTGCTGAAAATATACCCATCAGCTGTTGAGACGTTAATAGTTGAAACTCTTGAATACATGTAAGTCTAATCATGCAACTGGTAGAATTCAAACTTTCAATTAACAAAGTACATGCCTTTTGAAGCACAGGCTCTCAGTGCAGTGACAAACACTGTGCAGAAATCAATACCCACTCTAACTTGCCTGCACATAATGACTTACATCAAGCACGGTTCCAATACCAACCGGCATTATATGTCAGAGATGCATTCAGTAGTAATGCTTACTCCAGAAAGAATTAAATTAAGCCATCGGATCACTCATTGCATAGATCTGTTGTCCTGCATACATCACCAATATACACGGCTTTCCTCTACACGCTGCATTTCATAATCTGCTTTAGTGCACAACACATGCTGCCACCTGAATCTGCGGTCTAACTCCTTTGATAGCGTTCTACGGTGGGGAAGAGGGGATGTAAGGGAAATAAACATTACTCCCGGTCACAACAATCTGAGTTTATTTCCAGGAAACAGGGCAGCCACAACAAGGAGAGAAACTGACAGGCGCAAAGTTAAGTTCGTTCTCCGACCCTGCGGCCTCAGCCAAGAGCGCGGCTGTCACTTTCCCGGTGTTCTCCGTCACCATCCGCACCAAGACCCAGGGCAGCAGATGCGCTTGCCAGCCAAGCTGAGCTGGGTGGACTGGCCAGAAAAGTTGTCAGGACCCGCGAGCAGCAGACAAGCGCCCGGGAGCCCGCTCCCCAGCATCCACCTGGTGAAACTTCAGAGCCCCAAGAGGAGAGAACGAAAGAAGCAACTAACAGAAAAGAACAAAACTGGAAGGGTAGAGGACGGGACTGGGAGAGACGGGGTTTCACGGACTTCTGTAAGTGGCTTTACCAAGAACCCAAAGAGCCAACCTACAAGAGCACACCATCCCTCCCTTTGTACTCTGCCGGCTGTCGCTCGCAGCCCCCATCCCCGAGGCGGGCTCCCCCGGAGGAGTGGGCTGCCTCAGCCGGGGTCAGGCTCCCCGCGCCCGGCATCCAGACCTCGCTGCCCAGGACTGCTCGGTGTGCGTCCTTAGAATCATATTTCAAAACATCTTACAAGCTCCTCCAACAGACACACGGAACCTACTCCACGCAGTGCCCTAACGCACAGGGCAAAACCAGGAGCAGCCAACACTGGGGGAGGAGAAAGGGACTGGGGGAGGGACGGGGAAGTAGTTAGACAATAGTCAAGGGAGGTTATTCCCGGGACAAAAAGCACCTGGCAAAGCGCGCCGAGGTCAGTCCCTTCCAGTCTCCACATTTCTGACAATGGCTTCCTGGGCGGGAGTGGGGGGGGAAATAATTTTTTTTTTTTTTCTTGAACGCTCTAGAGGCAGACAGCAACAAGCCCGCACCACTAGCAACAGAGTAGCCGTTCCCGAGTCGTAACTACTTTTTCCTCCCTCTTCCCCAGCGTGGTGCAGCGTGCGCTGGACGCGGAGGCTACCAATTTCCCAAGAAAAGCAATGTCTCCCCACACTCCCGGGCAGCCCTGCCAGCCCTGGCCCCGAGCGAGCCTTCGAGAGGAACAATGGGTCGCGGAGATGAAAGTTACCTGAGCCAAGTGGCGCCCAGCCCGGTGCCCCGCGTCCCACCTAGCACAAACTCTGGGGACATCTCTCCCTCTGCCCTGTGCTCCCGCCCGGGCCGCGAAAGCTTCCCCCGAATCGTTGCCCCCCGGCCCTGGCGAGGAGCCGGCTCCAGCCCTCGCGAGCCCCGGGCCGGGGGGCATTCGTCGGGCATCCGGACGCCCCCCCCCCACGCCCACCTTCTGGGCCACTCACCTGCGGAGAACTGGCCTTGGGCCGACCCCAGGGGAGACCAAGGGGAGAGGAGCAAGAGCGCCACAGAAACAGGCAGCGCCGCCGCCGCCGTATCCATGTCGACTTTGGGAGAAGTTTCAAGCAGCTTTGCAAAGAGCTGCCGGGTGGATCGCAGCGAAATCCACGACCGAGGTGCCAGCCGGGCCTCGCGGGACGAGGGCGGGAAGTCCACAGCCGCCCGCCGGCACTTTTTCCTTCTTCGCGGTCCCCAAACTACCTCTGGGGCGCAAGCGTCTCCCGCGTCGCCGGCTGGCCGCGGCGGCAGCTCTCCATGCTCAGCGGAGGCTGCTCCTGTTAGTCAAGAGTTACTTTGCTCCGGGAGGGACGGGGGCGGAGCCGCGGGTGACGTCGCCCTGCCGGCTCCGGTAGCTTCTGAGGAATGCAGGCTCGGGCGCGGCTCCGCCGCCTCCTGCCGGAGAGACGCGCGCCAGCTCCGGCCTCGCGCCTCTCGCCGCCTTTGTTCGCCGCCCGCCGCCGCTCGGGGGAGCGGGCGGGAAAGCGGACCCGCGCCGTTGGCTACCCTGTTGCAGAAATCGGAGTTTGAGATGCGAGTGTTTGGTAAGCAGTGTGGCGGGACCACAGAGGAGGAGCGCGGAGAAAGCCCCAACGCCCGAGCAGAGGCGTCCTGGGCTTCCCTGTCCCCGCGGTGGAGGTCCCACCGGAGCGGATGCCGGTAGGAAGAAGCGGGAGTGTAGAAGCGCCCTAAGGAAACACCCACCTGCCCTGAAAACTCAGTTCTTTATTCCTGTAACAAGGACTAAGACACCCCACCCCCACAGAAAACTTATTGTTCCTTATGATATAAAAATAAAACTTGAACCAAAATAAACGTTCGGTAACTTTCCAGTGTGAGCAGCTGGCGTGTCTCCTTTCTGGTTTATTTGTCATTTGCCGAATATTTGGATTTACGCTCTGCTTCGCTGACTTTGCTTGTGGTTCTGAAACCTTCCGGCCTCTTTCCGCTTCTTCCCTTAGGAAGAACCTAAGAACTGCATCAGCGTTTAGTATCTTTTCCTTTCCCATAGGTCTGCGGGAGTAGAAAAAAAGGTTTTTTGCTATGTTTTTAATATCTAATAGGTACTTAAGACAGAAGTATTTAACGAAAGGACTTTACACTGACAATGAAAACGGCAACGAATGATTTCATCCGGAGGAAAATGATACTCTATTATGACAGTAAAGTATTTTACAGTTTGCTAGTTCTTCAGCAGCTTGAAGTGGTTTCACCATATGCCACATTTACTTGCTTCTGTGAACAGACTATTTGGTTGCGCAGTATATCCATTTTGTAAAATTTTCAAGTAAAATAGATGTGGTCACAATTGAATAGATATTTTTATTAAGAATTTTAATGTCAGATATACAATTCCTAGAACAATAGAACCTATTGATTGACATCTGTCAAGTACTCATATCTTTAGTCTTTGTAAACAACACAATGTGAAATTCAATTTAACATTCATATAATTTATTTACTGAGCCATGTATTCCTCGCTATCAATGACCAAGTTTATGATAGAACTGGAAATATATCTATATACATATATATGTATAAAATCAGGAAGAAAAAGACTTTTTAAAAATTTTGCTAAGAGTAGAAGCTTGATTAAACAGAATTTGGAGTCTCCTGGCTGGCTCATTAGCACACTGAGTAGCCCAATGCTTGTCAATTCAATTCAGCACAATAAAATTCATTTTTTCTTAGGGTGCAGGGTACAATTTTTTTTTCAACTCACTAACCTATCACTGTTCTATTTCTTTGATTGAGGGACATTCCTAAATCCTAAGTAACAAAAAACTGAAGGGCATATCTTTCCTTTTTGAAGCAGTAAGCAGAACTTTGTAAAATTTAGCAGGAATATGCCTCAGGAAAAACAAACAAAAACCCACCACCCATATACTAATTCACCTGTTCTATTCTTGGAAAGAAAGATGAAGGAAGTTCATGACTTGGTAGATTTCTTTGTTTAAACACACAAAATACTTGTTTGAAAAATTGACATACAGTGCCAGGGGGAAGTCCACACACAGTTCTTACCATGCTTGTTGCTTGGGTCAACTGATAGAAGATTCATTTCACTTTACCTATCCTGGAAGTAGTAACAGTAACAGGCAATGTTTACAGAGCACTTACAATGTGCGAGGCACGACTTAAGATGCGCAGTATCTCACTGAGTTCAGACAACAACCCTTTGACATTGGCACAATTATTACTCCTATTTGACAAATGAGGAAACAAGATTAGGGATTAAGTAACTTGGTCATCAGCACATATCTGAGTGAAAAGTAAGGGGAAACAAGGAAAGGCAAGAAAATTCTCAAAAGGAATCAGCAAAGTAGCAAGAACAACTTCTCACTGAAAGTCAAAGGAATAAAATAAAACTTTTAGACAAGTAAATCAGTCCTTTTGTCCTTAGTTGTCACGAATGCTGGCTGTAATAACTAATGCTGGCCAGAGTGGATTGAAATCTTTTGAGGAGAGTATGTTTTTCTTCCGCAAGGTATTTGGCAAGTATTTAGAACTTACTAGATCTCTGTTTATTTCACAGAAAATAGAATGAATGAATATATCTATCAATTCATAGAAGAAGTATAAATTAGGTATAACTTTTAGAAAAAATTAGATAACATGTATTAAAAATCACTAAAACGTTCATATTCTTCAATCTACTGGCTATTCTAAGGAAATAAGCCAAAATATGGAAAGTGTTGTATACACAAAGATATTTGTGATTTTCAAAAGAGAAAAGTGATTATCATATAAATGTCTAACAATAGGCAGATTCATGAACATTATCTAGATAGAATATCTCAGTCACTAAAATGAAAGTTATAAAAAAAAAAAAAGGAGCAAGTTGCAACATGGGAAAATGCATATGATAAAATATTGGGTAAAAAACACCAGAAGACTGTATAGAGTTTCAGTTTGGGAAGATGAAAACATTCTGGAGATGCACCGTAGGGATGGCTGTACAACAATGTGTACTTAATGCCACTGAACTGTATACTTAAAAATGGTTAACATGGTAAAATTGTATGCAATATGTTTTACTACAGTAAAAAAAAATAGAAGACAAAAATCAAAATGTACTATGATTATAACGGAGAAATAATGAAGAATGAAAAAAAAACCCATAAACCATAATACTGATAAAATTAGTAGTAGATATAGAATAATAAAATTTCATAATTGCCCTTCTCTATTTTCCTACCATTTGGGGTATATGGTGAGAGTATATCTTTTAAAGAGGACAGGTTTGTATTCGGATTGCAGATTTACCACACAGTACCTCCAGTCATCAATTTAGATCTGTGTTTGGGGAAAATGTTTTCTGTGGAATCCCAGTTTTATCAAAATTTCATAAGTATATTGGAAAATAAGGTCTGAAGATCAGATAAGCTTGAAGAACTCTGAATTGAGCAAAGTTAAAAGGTTCCTTTACCAAAACAGTCTCCTTTACTATGTAGTACTTTTTCCATGGTTATCAATATGGTATTAGGAACTGTGAATCTGGAGGGAGGAAAAGAATGCAGTTTCTCAAAGTTTTGGACCATGGAACTCTTTAATAAAGAAGTAGTTCTCACAAGTAGGATTTCAGGGAACAGAGTTTGGGGAACACTGCCAACTAACATTTAATATCTCTATATCTCAATTTCCTTCATATGAAAATGAGGCTAATCAATCAGATTTTCAGATAACTAAAAAAAATACAGTTGACTTAAACTGGAGGGTTAGGGGCACTGATTCCCTGCACTGTCAAAAAGCTTCATATAACTTGACTCTCCAAAAACCATAACTAATAATAGTCTACTGTTGACCAGAAACCTATGGCTAACATAAATGGTTGATTAGCATATATTCGGTATGTTATATGTATTATGGACTGTATTATTACAATAAAGCTAGAGAGAAAATGTTAAAAAAATCATAAGATAAAATACATTTACAGTAAACTGCACTGTATTTATTTTTTAAAAATCTGCATATAAGTGGACCCGTGCAGTTCAAACCTGTGTTGTTCAAGGGTCAACTCTATAAATTTTTAATATAGATATAAATTCAATTATAGGTATAGATATAAAAGGGTCTGGACAATAATAGTTGCTGAGTAAATGTATTTTCCTTCTCTCATTCCACTGAAGGATTATGCACAAATCTGTACCCAGCAGAAGCAAAGTTTTTATTTACCCAGTGACAGACCATGAGTACCCACAGCATGTGTTTATAAGCAATTAGATCATATTCTCAGCTTGTTAATAATAATTAATTGCTTACATATGCTTTTCAGTTTGTAATGCTTATTCACCCACATGATCGCAATCTATCCTCAGTCTATCAAACCCTAGGAAGATTGAAGCCAGGGCAGGTAGTTTTACTAATTTCACTTAACTGACAAGGAAAACCAAAGCTTAGAGGGATTAAAAAATTGGCCAAGCTTTGACACGGTCAATAGCAGAGTTGTCTCTTTGACCTGGGCATTCTGACTGCCAATCTCATTCCTACCTTCCTGCCAATGACTATGTACTTCGTTCTCATCTCTAAAAATGTTCGTTTGAGTTAGATGCAAAATTCTCAATGTCAATTCACCAGACCGAGCCTCTTAGGCTGGCAGGTGGAAATGAGCTTCTATTTTCTCTTTGCAAAGAGAAAAAAGAAAAAGAAAAGAAAAACAACCTAGAAGCATTTTCTTGCTGTAATATTCTTGCATGGGTATGTATGTATCCAGGAAGGGAGGGGCAGAGAATTTCTGACCATAAAGCCCTTGAACAGAGCAGGGACTTCCAGAAAAGGAAAAAAAAAAAAAGTGCCTGTTAGGTCTTTGAAAACTGTTGTTCTGGGTGGGTGTTGGGTCTTCCACTGTAGGGCAGAGCCCAATTCTCCCTGGAGTAGTGCTGGGAGCTGGCCAATTACTACTTAGATACTGACATCAGAACATCCAGGAACAAATTGAATAGTGATGGCCGTGTGCCTAAGTCTCTAAGGAAACTCTTCTCTCTACATGTTCTTAGGTAATTTTGGATCAAACGGAAAGAAATGCACTGTATTCAAAACCACAGTTATTTTGTGAGTCCCTTGAACCCTTTAAAAAAATCCATAACTGGGGATTAGTTCAGAAACACTAGTCAAGAAAATGCATGCTCCAAAGGTTTTATCCAGGGAAGAAAAAAAAAAAAAAAAAAAAAAATTGAGCAGCTTGAGAGCTCGGTGTTGCCAATTTGGAAGAGCAATTTGCCTACAGCTGGATATAATTAACAAGCATGGGTCAAAAAGGAAGCCAATCATAAAAGTGTGAATTGGATAGAG